CCTTGTGAGTCCTGACATTCAATTACATGTCCAAGTAAAGGTTCCTGGTGATGCTAAAGTACAGCAAAGAGAAGAGAAGATTGAGACTAAAGAGTGATTGGGAGAGAGAAAGAGAGGAGGAGAGAGAGAGAGAGAGTGAGAGAGAGAGAGAGTGAGAGAGAAAAAGAGCGAGAGAGAGAGAGAGAGATAAGTGGGGGGGGGGGGGTGTATGAAGGCTTTTTCTTATCGAGTCACTACACAAGTCCCGTGCAGTGCAGAACTTGAGTAGTGTGGTTGAAGGATTGACAGGAACCGCGACGTGAACGCTTCTTCAATGACCCCACAAATTTAACCAATAACAATTAACATTAATTAAAAGAATGAGGCGATTACGATATTACTCTTATTTTGCGGGGTGGGGGTGGGAGTAAAGAGTACTAGTTGAGCAAAACTAAATACTATTTAGTTCAAGTTCTTTATTGATTATGTCGATTCAGTGTGATTATAAAAATATTGATTACAAAAGAAGAAGAAAAAAATAATCAAAAAATAAAAGACAATGCAGACATAAACATTCATGATGAAACAGTATATTGGGAGAACAGCATGATTTTCACTTATACTATGAATGCAAACTCAGTGGCCCGAATTCACAAAGGAGGTTTGTCGAGAAACCTAGGTTTATGTACGTCATAATGCGCGTTATCCCGTGTTTTGACAAACCCGGGTTTGTATTTACAGACCTAGGTTTGTCAAAACGCGTCAAAACGCGTCATATGACGCACATAAACCTAAGTTTGTCGACAAACCTCCTTTGTGAATTCGGGCCTGGCTGTATAATTATTTTGATTTTGAGTTTATTAATAACAAAAATAATAACAATTTAAACATAATGTATCAAGCATGATTAAATAAAATATTACAATATAACACAAGATCGATAACATTACACATGAATAATATAAACATTGTTTTACAAAGTTTGTTGTATACAAATGGAATAAAAGATTATGTGTACAGTTTTGTTGTTAAAGGGGGTACCAGAATTTAGCACAAGTGCTAGTCGAATCTGGTTCAATTTGATCCAAAGGTAGGGAATTTTATATGTCCGGGCCACTATGTGTAAATGCTTTATGTGCCGTAGCGGTTTTACTGTTTCGTTGGAAAAGAATGTACGTCTTTGTTTTTTCTTTTAAAGGGCAGTTAGGGCAGGAGGCAATTGGCCGTGGTAAAGATGGAACATAACGAGTGCAGTCTTCAAGAAATTAATATCAGAAATTTTAAGGGTATTATTAAATTTAAAAAACAAATGGATGCTATGGTCTCTGTAGTAAAAACTAGTACAAATACGTATCACCTTTTTTGATATCTTAGAATTGAATCGCTCAGACATTTGGAATTGGCACATATCAAATTACATGATGTGATATTCGGTAGTAGCATAGTAACATACAATATGAATAAAACGTTTAATGGTAGGAAATATTTCTATGAGTGGTTTTAGATACATATTTGACATGGACAGAGCAATTTAAAAGTTCGTTAATATAAACTCCAAGAAATTTAGTATCGGTTTTTCTGTTCGATTACAGGAAAATCAATTCTTTGATTTATCAAATTGTATTGGTTTATTATGGGCCCTAAAGAATAATTTGTTTGAAATTTGAATGGGAGATAAATACATTTGTGTCATCAGCAAACATTATATATATTGTAAGACAATAACGAATTAGAAATATCATTGATATAAAGTGAAAACAAGAGCTGGTCCAATATTGAGCCCTTTGGGACTCCACATTTAATATATAATATTTCAGTAAAAAGATGATTATTAGAAGTAAACCGTTTCCTGTTTTACAAGTGGCTGTCAAACCAATTCGAAGCCATTCCTTTAATACCATAACACTGTAGTTTCTTCAAACTAATAGAGTGATCAAGAGTGTCGTTTGCGTTAATCACATCTACGATCTAAGATGCATGACCCTACGTGTTATCAGTGTCTGTGATATGGTGTAATATTGAAGTGCCTCAAAAAAGTAAAAATCTTTGAGTGACCGGTTTTACCATAATCATTTCTTCCAATAGACTGTAGTTTTATTTTTTTAAAACCGTTAGGAAAACGAATTCTGACATATCTAATTATAATCATAGATATCTTTATAATCAGACAGGCGATTGGCTTGTTGTGAATGGGATTCATGTATGACCTAAAGGTTTATAAATATGATTGCAGCATGAGCTAAATCCAGGATTTGTTTAAGAATCTGAGGCAAAGTTACCCAATCTCTTTAAGGAGGTTATTCTTCGTCAAAAATTCATACAATCTGTTGTAAAAAAAACACCTTCAACTATTTTTGAAAAGCTTGACAAAGTGGAAATTGGGCGAAAGTTACTTAGAGGCATCATCTTTTTTTGTATATCGGTACAACTTTTTTCTGTTAATAAAATAAGAAATCGGAAATACACCAGTTGTTAATCAAAAATTAAATATTAACACAAGGGGGGGGGGGGAGTAAAATGCTACCAATTATTTTATTTAATACACTGGTCATAATTTCGTCGTGGCCAGATGATGGGTTTGCTTTATTTAAACGAGTTCAATATGCGTAGTATTTCAAGATGATCGGTAGGTTTTAAGAAGACTGACTTGTTTATACAGTTCGGAAGATATTTTTCAAAATCGTTACCTTGTATATACATCTTAGTTGCTTGCTCTGAACCTATGTTAGCAATGTTTATCAAAACCGTTTGCAATATATTTGGGGTAATCCAAATTATGGTTATAGGGTTTTTACTCTGGGGGATCTGTCTTGTTTAGAAAGTACTTGATTAATAGCTCTCCATATTGCTCCGATTGTCTCATTTTCGCTCGCGTGAACATTGCCAGCACAAACCACTGACCTCTACCTCCTGAACGGATCATCGCCCATTCCCATTCACTATACGTTACGTACTAAAAGGCTGTATTGTCTGACCGTTCATGAATATTCATGTTTTTGCTAAACTCGGCAAAATGTTTGCTTTTACTAAATGGAAAAATTACGGTGGGGGGTTGGATGAAATGGACATAATGAAATAGGCAGAAGTGATCTATGATAATTCATGCTTTTTATGTTTGGTGTGCTCGACCTATAATCTTCAAATCGCTGAGTCCAAAGTTAGACTTGTTTCACATGTGTATTATAGGCAATGACGAGCTTGCAACCTATTTTGAAAAATTACGGTGGGTGAACTTTCAAAAGTCAATGAGACATGAGGGCTCCAATGAAAGAGCTAGTGATAACGTACGTCGGGGTGGATGTGCTTTTCGTTTAAACAAAAAATGAATTTTTAACGATTTAAAAAAAAACGTCCATAGGCTAACATGTTAGGCTGCTGACTCTGATCATGTTCTGACGATAGGGGGCGTTGTGAAATGAGACTAAACGGAGCAATATGCCTGTAGAGGTCATATTTCTATGCAGGCGCGTACACAGGGTAGGGTTTGGGGGGTTAACCCCCCCCTTTGGTAATTTGTTTTGTATTATTTTTTTTTTAAATTAAAAAAAAAAAAAAATTCCAATGACTGACCTAAAAAAAGTTGACCTTACCCCCCCCCCCCCCCAACGGAGCAAAATGTCAAATTTTCAAATTTCGAGACCCCCCCCCCCAAAAAAAAGGGTCTTCTTACCTCCCCCCTCCCCCCCCCCCCCCCCCCCACGCTTATTCAGCGGCAGGCTGAGTTGTTGCGAAATTTTTGGTCCGATTTAAAAATGTTAACCCCCCCCCCCCTTGAAAAATCCTGCGTACCCGCCTGTTTCCTTGTGCATTTTCTAGCGTGAAAGCCGTATAACTGTAGTCAGCTTGTTTCTATAGTTTCATTCGTACTTATATTAAAATCACTGCGATTTTTAAGTTAGTTTTGCATAAGATATTCCTTTCTTCAGGTGATATTATGATGCCTTTTGTGGTCCACGGGTTTCCCAAATGACCTCAAATGTTTTGGCTCCAAGGCGCTTCTCAAAATCATGATTGTCGTTTAGTGCAACGCTTCCTAGTAAACAATCTCCATTGTCAGCACTGAAGGAAAATCGCGAGCAGGACTCAGTAGCCAAACACAGGGCCGTACACCGTATCAACGTCGACGCGGAGTCTCGCTTGATCACGGCCGAATCCATAATAGTTTTATCCTGGGCGATGATCTTATACCTGTTCGACCTTTGGCGAGCTTCAAATAAGAATGCGATAACAGAACACACTTTAATTTGGACTGTCTAATATGTATACGTGTTCCGTTGACAATTACCACGCAGTCGATTCTCTACACGAACAGAATTTCCAACCCTGGGATAAACACAATACTTGATCCTAACCCTAACCCTAATCCTGACCCAAAACCCAATAGCAATCCTAACCTTTACCATATATCTTCGACAATATAAAGGCCGGAGCAATTATTAACAGAGTAGAAAATGTCGAATCTATATTAATTGAACCAGAACAGTTCGCGCAGATATTAGATTAGAGCAAATAACTAGAGACATAAATTCTGGTAAAAAACTAAAACAAAACGAAGAAAAAGCAAAGAGGCATCATCACAATATTGCCCTTTAATGGCCCTATCTTTAATGATGTAGTAATTTCATTACTAGCATCGCTCAATCTGAACAGACGTTGGAATACTATTTTTTTAAGACAAAAAAGGAGTCATCTAGTATCTTCCTTTATATCTCGTTATTTCAGCACCTGATAAAAGAGCTCAAAATACAGGTGCGTGTATATTCAAATGTTTTTAATACTTTGTCCATAATTCTGTAACCCAATTTAAAAAAAATCCTCCTGGGATTGCACACAGGCATGAAATGTTGATGATAACAAAACTTATCACTTTATTCAGTATATAAATCAAGACGAATTTCCATATATGAACAGTAAAAACATCGAATTAATTACAATAAGCACTGTTAAATCAGATATCCGGAGGATACTTTATACATTTTAGTCTATAGTACCCAAGGCTCGTATAATGTTGACCCATTTACCTTTGGGGGATGCCGTCGTGATGATTGTTGTTGTAGCTGTTGTTGTAGATGGTTGCGTTGTTGTCGTATGTTTAGTAGTGGTTGGTTGTGTAGTTGTTGTAACTGTTGTTGTAGATGGTGGTATTGTAGGTTTAGTAGTGGTTGGTTGTGTAGTTGTTGTAGCTGTTGTTGTAGATTGTCGTGTTGTAGGTTTAGTGGTTGTTGGTTGTGTAGTTGTTGTAGCTGTTATTGTAGTTGGGATCGTTGTTGTAGTAGATTTGGTAGTGGTTGATTGTTTAGTTGTTGTAGCTGTTGTTGTAGATGGTTGTGTTGTAGGTTTAGTAGTGGTTGGTTTTGTAGTTGTTGTAACTGTTGTTGTAGATGGTTGGTGTGTTGTTGTTGTAGCTGTTGTCGTCACCAGTTCAGTTGTTGCCACTGTGGTCTTTGTTGAACAGTCTGTATTTAAACAAGATTTTAGAATAGAACGTTCAATATAACGAACAAGTTGTTATGTAGGTGTACTTTAAAATTTAACATTAACGCCATTATCCATATGTATTGTATATATTAAAGAGTAGTAGGCCCATTTCTGTTATTTCGGTATTCAACCGTTGAATGGGAAATGCGTTCGAATTGAATTTCTTTTTATTGGATTAAGAGTTTTCCAAATAATTTTTGACTTTTCATCGAATGTTCTATTCATCAGTTGTCAATGTTCCGATAATACAGCAGAAAACAGTGGATGAGAAGTATCTTATTATCTTTTAGGAGAGGTTTGGTCGTCTTCCTTCGAAACCCAGATGGTATACCCTAAGTACTCAAATGAAAAATCTGAGTCCAACTGTGTATTCTTTTCTCCGCAATTGACAATTTCCCGGGTCCATCCTGATCAAACCATTATAAATATCAAGTAAAAACGGAATAATAACCAATCGCAAATAAATCTTAATATTTCTTTTTGCACTCGATGTTTAGTAAGCCACCTGTATCCCGGTGGTGCTGTTATGCATTGAATCGATGTCAAAATGGAAGAAAAAAATAAATCAATCACCATTTTCTTTCTCGTACATATATTTTAAAGTTGTTAAGCAATTACTGTCAAGCCACGTGCATCACTGTCATGCTCTCCTGCATTAAAACATTTTGTAAATCAGACAAAAATGAAATAATCACCATTTTCTTTCTCGCAAACATATCTAAAATTATAGGAGCATTCTCTATCATGCCACGTGTATCCATACGATGCTACCATACGGAAACACTCGGATCCATCGTTGTAAGAATTATTTTCTGTGTTATCGTAAGTGAGACTGGACCCGTCCAGCCACACACCCTGGCCATCAGAGTCCACCGTTAGTCCGATCCAGTAATCTCCAACGTTGTTCTCCCTCATGCGACCTTCGATGAAGTCCTGTTCCTCTGCGGTCTCGATGTAAACCAGATGGAAGTCTCGCCTGGAACATTCTGAAAACGCTTGAGGGCGTGTCGTGGAAGAGGGACTGAAATAGTAGCTAGACTCCCCATATTGTTCTGTTGCATACGGAGATCCTGTAAATGCAAAACGATGATTGTACTAAGTCATTTAAGGGATGGAATACTCTTAAATATGCGAATACCCCGTATCCATACTTCGCACGTAATTCAACTTAAATCCAAATTCAATTAATTGACTTAAATCCCAACATGAAGGAATCAGATTTTGTAAAACTCAAATATTTTTTAGAAATTTATTTCTGACCCTTAAACACGTAAAGTAGAAATCATAATAACAGATTTTTAATTCGTCAACTTAAATCCAAACTTTGTCCACGATCCCGTCTTCTGATCAAAAATTGAATAGTTTCATTTGTAGAGTAAATTCTCAGTTACAACATATTCAAATATGGGAGACATCAGAGCAGGGGAGGAATTTTGAATCGCAACTTGTTCTTGTACATATTCAGACCTACTTAACGTTGTGTAGTTGATTCAATTATCTTTGTATGGGTGGCCTTTAACTTAGCAATTATATTTTTAAAAATTCTTCGAGTGCTACTTTTATTATAAAAAGTCTAGGCCTACTGTTGATTACCTTGATATTAACCAGCACATTTTCTTCTGTGCTTAAATTCATTTAGTTTTTGAGGTTACTAAACCATTGACGTCCTATCGTCTTTGTTTGTATATACAGGCAAGATGTTGTAACCGACAAATGAATAAACGTGAAACGTAGAGCATGATTATCATCTAAACACATATTCGCCCCCACTACGAAACAAAATTAAAAGAAACATAGAACACCAACAACAGCAACAAAGACAAAGACAAAATCAATGTTTACCAGCACATGTGACTGGAGCCGATGTCTGCATCGCTGTCGTAGGTACGGTCATAGTAGTAGGAGTCGGAGTTGTTTCTGTTAAAAACAATTATTACAAGAAGAAACTATGAATAACAACGAACACAATTATGAATGAAGAAGGGGAGATTAAATTGAACAGTGTAATGTAAGTTTGAATGAAATACTCATGATGAACAACCAACCAATTTCAATAGACAGAAGGAGAAATACCTATCATTGGCTCTCAGCATTGTTCCCAAAAGCTCATTCACGTAAGATAAGGTTACCGAAAAAATAGTCAAAATGTTACATTTTTGAAACGTTACGATTGCCGCTCTTGGAAAAATTTCAATGGGCGATACGGTACCCAAACATTAAAACTAGCACGGTCAATGTTACCAATGCTGACAGGTAATTCTATCAAAGCAAACAACTAATTATTATTTGTTAAAAACGAAGGGGGAAAAGCATCAGATCATGAGGGAAATGATATAACAATAGGCGCTTGAACCCCTTCAGAAAAGAGTTTAAGTTCAGTGGGATTTTTACTCATTAGGTTTGAATGCTTTCCAATAACCACAATATAGCATCATTCGTTTCTTTTCTCCTGTCGATGTAAAATAATTGTATATGCATTCATCTTGATATCACGTAATTTTGAGCAGCGCACTACAACGCTACCTTGGCATCTCGGGTCAAGGAAACCTACAGCACAAAGCTCCCATCTTGTCTCAGGATCGGTGGTGTAACACCAAGCAGTGTCCCAGTTATCGGGGTTTCTGCAAAAGTTGCCGTCTAGTCCCGCGTTAGGATAGTTAGCTGGAGTCCTAGAGTGTGCATGGGGTTCCTGAGATGTCCACGCTTGACAAGTACGACCGTTGATTGTCTGAGCTAAGTCTCCTCTGTATTGCACTCCTGTAGGATCTTCCTTGCATGTTGGTGTGCCTGGAGAAAACACAGAGTAATATTTCAATAGAGCTTGCTAAAGTAATATGTGTTTTATTCTGAATGACAATTTGCTCCCCCTCTCCCCCGAGAAATCAATTACTCTTATGCAACGACCGATTCACAGACCAAATTATGATTTACTGTGTCAATCAGTGGCGGATCCAGGTGGGGGGGGGGGGGCCGGGGGGCCCGCCCCCCCCCCCCTTGAGAAAAAAATCATGCAAAATCACGCGATTTTTACCTTTTTGGGGGGTTGGGCCCCCCCTGGTGCTCAAGGGGGGGTGCAAATTTTAAAATTTTCGAGGACCCAAAAAAAAATTGTGCTCACTACCCCCCCCCCCCCCCCCCCCCCCCCCCCCCCCCCCCCCCCCCCCCCCCCCCACTGAGCGACTTTTCGGCTGGCTGAGTCGTTGCGATTTTTTGGGGGGACTCCAAAAAAAAAAAAAATGTTATTGCAGTATTTTGTATGACATATTCATGAATAATAACACTATATGCTAAGCTAGGGATTTGGTTAGTGCAGGAAATTGAATACGGAGTTTTTTCACAGGAGCATTCGGTCATACGACCGATGTTATACAACACGATCACATAGGCTTTCAAGGAATCAATACGGGTGATTTCAATACCCTATTTTACTGTCACTAATATGTTCGCATATTATAATAGATGACGCACAAGGCTACTTCGTGGTGTCATCATAAAGTTCAAATCGTACATAAAGCAAGACGAAATAATTCAAAAGAACAAATTTTGCCATTGTAGAAGATCTGACTTTTAACAAAAACCAAGCACGACTCAGAAAAGCAAGATCGAAAATAAAATTGTTGGCAACGTTAAAAATGTAAAAAAATATTTAGATAATATACAGTTAAAGTCTAATATTTATTTTCATTTGTGGACTGATAATTGAGAATGATTGTTTTTATCTGGATTTTAATCATTAAATTGAATTTATAATAACATATAAAATGCGTAGTGAAATAAACCCATGCGATAAAAGGAGGATCGAGTGGGTGAAAAGCCCCTCCGCACCTGTTGAGAAAGAAAACTAAACCAAGAAAACATCCTCTTAGAAATAAAAAAAGGGGCTGATGATAGGGGCCCGAGAAAATATTTAGCGGCGACTCAGCCGACCGGCCGAATAAGCGGGGTGGAAGGGGGGGGGGGGGGGGGTAGTGAGCACTTATTTTTTATTTTTTTTGTTTGGCCGAGGGAGGGGGCCAGGCTTCCCAAGCTCCCCCCCCCCTAGACCCCCCCCCCCCTCCCCCTGGACCCCCACTAGCTGACGGCATCCTTGAAAGGTTTGGTTGGATTCCTTTGGGGAAATATATTATTATTATTATCGCTCCTGCAAGTAGGTATGCGCCTACTCTTTCAATATTAATCAAAGAACACATTTTAACCCAATCATACTAGTTTATTTCATCATTTAACGACGTGCACTGATTTATAAATTGTACATGACCAGAAAGTACAAAATTCGCTGGAAATTTGATTCCTCCTTTTTCTTTGTAGAACATAGTGACGTTCATAAAAAAAGAGCGGTTTAATCGGAAATAATAAATCATGTCTCTATACATTGGCGCTGCAGAATGAAAGTAATAATCACATTTTCTTTTACGAATTGGCAATTCTTTTTTATTTTTATTTTTTTCACTCTCACTGTTTCATTTAATATTATTCATATAATATACATTTTGATTTTTCTATGAAAGAGTAGAGAATACTAATAATTGTTGCCAATTTGTTGAGGAAAGCTGATTCATTTAGACCTTAAGTAAACCCTGAGCTGTTATGGGTTGATGAAGTATACATATTGAAGTATATTCATTATAGCTATAATTAAGACCCTTATCACTTGAGCCGTGAACTTTTGGGCCTAATTTTGATGACGTCACAGCAACAGGGTAATGCTAAAGTATTTTGAAATGTCTCATACTAGATTCATGTGCGATGGTACAATTTCTAGTTTTTAGGTTTTTTGTGTGTTTTGTATATTCTGTACTATTTTGCTTCTGTTTGTTTGTTGTAATATTTGAAGCACAGTTGAAGCACGCAAACTCAGCCACAGGGATGTGTTTTTATATAAAACGGAGTCAATACCTTAAGCAAAAAATCATTATCAGAATAAAAACTGAAACACAATAATTTATAACAACAGTTATAAATTGGAACAAAAAATAACCTTTATATTGACTTTAACATGAAATACATGAGGTTAAAGGCAGAGTATCCTACTGATACCTCAGATTTACATATACTGTCAATTGCTGCTACATGTAATATGTTTTCAGACACTTTGGCATGTATTCTACTGAACATTTGAATTCGACGCTGTGGTTTAGGTTTTGTTTAGAAACGGTTTAAACAAAGGAAAATTAGTCTGACGAGTTTCATTTTAAACCCAGCGTCGGGTTTAATTGAATCAGTTTAATACGGAACTTAAAGTTTGTTTACAACAACCTTTGTCGTTAAACAACGACATCTTAATTTCAAAGTAAGAATTACGAGCTTTAACCTACATTCCTTGGTCTCTTTTTGAAAAGCGATGAAGCGCGTCATCCACTAATGATTGAAGAGAAGATTGAATACTTACTTTCGGATTGTTGGAGGGTTAGGAGCATTTGCTGATGTAGCACTATTAGGATGCTAATTATATACCACATCTGGAAAAGAAAAGAAAGAGATGAAAATACGCAAACAAAAAATGATTCCAATGCGGTATTGACGACAAGCGTTACATGCTGTTCATTTTGTGTCTGATGTGTCTCATATCAAAGGCAGTCATAAATTTCACGTCTAAAATATATGACACAAAGTCATATTAGAATATTGTGAAATATCTAATTCCCGTCTTGAGACAAATCGATAAGTAAATTTTGGGGAAGAGAATCTTTTACCGACCTCGAAATCCAAACCTGAAAGACTATGAAGAAATTCCACTTTGTACAAGATGTCCCAGATGTAAAGGGGTAACGTTGATTTAAGATGTTTCAAATAATGAATCTTTGAATGAATGATTAAATGAATTATAACATGATGAATAATTGTCAAGTTCCATCACTCATAATGTTCCATGTTGCCCCGTCTTTCTTTGATAGTGGAATGTCCACATATTTGGCATTGCAGTCATGAGATTGAGAATGACTGGTAGATTAAAACGATTTATTAAAGGATGCAAACTCATTTGTGTCACAAGAAACACATAAACATCATTGTTTGGAAACTGTCAAATTGTTTTTTTTTCTTTAAAATGAGAACAGTTTTTTAAAGTAACACCGTTTAGATCTATTGATGGTTGCGAATTAAAAGCTATCGTCCCCATATGTCGTTCGATTTGCAGTAATCAGAATATTGTGTATTTAAACAATCCTGAAATACACACTCAGAAAGTTTATCATCAAACTATATCTTACAACAGATATTAGGGTAGGCAGGAGAACATTGTTCTTGGTTTTTATAGTTTAGAAATATTGATACAAAAACTGAAAATGAACAAAAAGACTGGAGCACCAATACTTACACCGACAGGCATCATCGAAACATCACATTAGATCCATGTCGCTACTACAGATGATTTAATGTTTTTAATATGGTTATCATCATCGCGGTAACATTCTATTGTGATTTTAATAAAATCATGTTCATGTCACCACGAGCAATATCAGAGTAAATCACGACTATGTCGTTATAATCCACTTCGACTAGTGAAAAGTAATGCGAATCCTTTCAAAATGGCGTCCTAACGACTGAGAATTAAAATGAAATTATCGAGCCCGTGAATATGGTGAAATGAGTCGTGTAACCTCATCGATTGTTGCAGTCCGATGCTGGAAATGATTCCCCCGCTGATCGCGAGATATTCATAAGGCTAGCCTTCTAATTGAATTACTTCCAAATCCCCCCCCCCCCCCCCCCCATCGCAATTGTTTGCCCTTTGTTAACGTATGATCATGATCATACACTGTTAGAACGGTGTTTAAAATATCACTGTTTAAAAGAATGTTGTTTAAAAAAGTAAACAACGTTGTTCAAAATCGAAAAATCAGTGCTCGATTGACTTAAACAACTATGTATTAAAAGACACAAATATTGAATTAAACAGAGTTGTTTAAAAAGTTCCGGGGGCGTCGTTGATATTTTCTCAATACGCGATTGCAATTTGCGCACACACATGCGATATGCACAAAGTACGTACATAATACATGCACGCAAGCATGCAGTGCTAGTGTGTGCAGTGCAAGTGCTAGTGCAGTGCAAGTGCAGACGAAAATGGCGGAACAAGGGCAAGGCGACGACTTGGTTCTTCTCGGCTTCGCCGATGGGGTTTAGGTGAAGTTATAGAGACAAATAATAATGTTGTCTGTCATTGCCATGAATATGATGAACAAAATATGTTGAAGTAAATTGGCAACAAGCTCTGCATGTTGCAGTGTATAAATCGTTGTGATTATTGCAGGAGTGGTTCCAGTAGGTCATTTCACAAATTCAAACAACCAGATAATAACCATTAAACAGTTCTGTTTAAAATTTAAGCAACTCCTTTTAAACAACCCAGTTGTGCAGTAATACTGAATAAAAAACAGTTGCTTAGTAATTTAAACATTATTGTTTAAAATTTAAACAACTTGCTTTAAACAACCGAGTTGTGCAATTTTATTACTAAACAACTGTTGTTTAAAAGGTTTCCTAATTTTTAAACAACTAAGTGTTCAAAATGTAAACAACCTTAATTTGTTTAATTTTTAAACAACGTTGAGCGATTCACCGGTTAACTCGGGGTTGTTTAAAATTTTAAACAACTTGTTTAATTTTTTTCTAACAGTGTAATGCGAATTGGATCGTGATGCAAAGATTTTTTTTTTGGCGACCTTTCACACACAGGGAGAATACTCACTCGACGGTTTGTAGGTGTGAACGCCCCTATTATGTCATTATTTTGTGCTCGCTCGCAAAATTAGATACAAATATGCCCGTATATATAAACATGACAT